TAAGCCGTACCCGACTCAGGGCCTCCTGGCAGTCCTCAGCTGGCCGCCAACCAAACAAAAAACGCTGCTTCCTCGCGATATCGACGGTAGTCGGCTGGATACTCGAGAGCGAGGCTCCCCCGGGAGACCTCCCCCTTCCTTTCCCTCCTCCTGTCCTCTCCCCTCCACATCTCCTCCTCCCTCCTTGTTCCCCTCCTCCCCCCTTCACCTCTCCCCTCCTCTCGAGACCTTTTCGGCCTCTTCCTTAGCATGCGCCGCTTCCCCGTGGGCGCCTGCAGCTCGCCTTCCACCGTATCCCAACGTGTACCCCCCCCTCAACGTGCACCGCTTCCCCGTAGGCCCCTACAGCTCGCCTTCCACCGTATCCCAACGTACCCCCCCCTCCACCCCTACCCTCGCAATTCGAAGCTGGCGTCCGTCGCCGTAAGACTGGGGCTCCCGCTCGAGCTCGTCTGCCCTCCCTCTCGCTCCCGAGCTCGGGCTGGCCGAGCTATGCTCCCCGCTTGAGGCTACCCAGCGGTCCAGCCCTCGCGGGCAAGCCGCCAGAACGAGCCTTTCAGTCTCCGATGTTCCCATGAGCGATTTTCTCCTTTGTTGCTTTCTGTTTTCTTTCCCCCTGTCTATCTGGTCAGTCTTTCTGTCTGTCTTTCTCTCTTTCTCAGAGGCACTGGTGAACGGGCCAGCATCGCGCAAACGCGCATTGTGAGCGGCGCGTCAGGTCTTTTCATTTGGTCAGACTCTGGGGCCGAACGGTCATTCACTGTCCCTGGGTTGCCCTTCCCGGGGCTCGTACCTTGTTTTGTATCAAGGAAAATATTGAGGGTCAAACTGCGTTGCTGGCCCCCGGTTTACAACAACAGCGGCTCCCGCCTGATACTTCTTAACAATTGATTGAAGAATCGCGCTCTCGCTTGGGACCTCCTTGCAATTTACCACCGGATCGCGGCTCCCGCTTGATACGTTTCCACAATTTATTGAAGAATCGCGCTCTCACTTTGGGCTTCCGCGCTCTTTTCGATACGGTTTCAGTTCTCATTATCCTTCCGCCCCGCTCTCCCAACATTCGCTTTTCTCAGATTTCCACCAAATTTGTTTCCGACACCAGTTCGCAGCTGTACGTCCCCCCCTGGGGGTATCCACGATATGTTCTTTCAAGGGGTTGGTACGTGGCGTTGTTTATGGCGCGACCCATGGCGAAACTTATTGTTAACCTGTGTTGGAGTGGCTGGCGCAAGCCATGGCGAAAAATGGTGCGCCACTCGCACGGCAAATCATCGCCCTCCCTCCTTCTTGCCCCTCCCCCCCCCTTCCTCCGATCCCTTCGTCCTCATGATTCCCGGTTATCTGTTTTCCTTCGTTTTCAAGGGCTTCACCGACCACGCGTGGCAGGGAATGCATCGACCCCCCCAAAAACGGGGCACGGTCAAAGACGAAGAGGGCGGGTATCCAGGGTTTGGGATATGCATATTGAATGGCACGCGAACATATAAGAGCGAACAGTCTTAAACTGATTGTTGTTGTTGTTGTTGTTGTTGGTGTTGCTGCTGTTGTTGTCAATGCTGTTTTTGTTTTTGTTGTTCTTGTTGGTGGCGTTGTTGGTGTTGTTGTTGCTGTTGTTGCTGCTGCTGCTGCTGCTGCTGTTGTTGTTGTTGTTGTTGTTGTTGTTACTGCTGCTGCTGCTGCTGTTGTTGTTGTTGCTGCTGTCGTCGTCGTCGTCGTCTTCGTTGTCGTTGTTGTTGTGGTTGTGGTTGTGGTTGTGGTTGTGGTTGTGGTTGTGGTTGTGGTTGTGGTGGTTGTTGAACATTATTACTTCTAAAGAATAATTATTGTTGGGGCCCCTGGTGCATGGCCCCCCCGCCGCGCCTAGGCCGCAGCCACATTTTCATCATTTTCGTGAGGAAGTCTCAGGTAAAACGGGTTGGTCCGGATCCGGTTGTGTTGTTACGATCGGTTTTCCCTTGCAAAAAATAAGCTAAAGTGGACATTTCTTGTTCTAACATAACCAAACTTCAAGAATCCCTTGCAAAAAATAAGGTAAAGTGGACATTCGCGCGCGCAAGACGAAATCCTTCCAAAACCTTAGTTTTCGTAGCGATTTTAACATAAAAACATCAAAAAAACCAATGGTTTTTCAAAAAAAAAAATGTCAAAATTTCATCCCGCGCGCTCTTGCGGATTCGTAGGAAACCCAACACTTTTTAAACATTTCTGTCAAGCGGGCTTTTGCGAGCAACTTTTTCGAACTTCTGCAACAACGGTTGCGCACCTGCCAGGGCCATCATCCCTGTCAAATAATACCATGCGGGACACATTCGTTTTTTCTTCGCGCGCGCACGCCGTCGTCGTCGGCCGCGGGGCCCTGAATAGTAGCCACGGTCGTCCGCATGCCACGAAGTGAAGTGTCCGAACGTCATAGGGCGGGAAGCTGGGTGTGGGTGGTGGCGAAGAGTCGTTTGGAAATTTGGTAGAGCTTGAACCGGCCCCCCCACAAAGTGGGGGTATTGCCCGCCTCCTATGAAAACCCTGGCACTGGTGAGAACGGAGTGTCCCCACGTGCTAGTAATTGTTGTTGTTGTTGTTGTTGTTGTTGTTGTTGTTGTTGTTGTTTTTTTGTTGTTTGTTGTTTGTTGTTTGTTGTCGTCGTCCTTCCCGCGACCAGGCCCGCGACCAGCCCGCGATCCACCCGCGACCCACTCGCGACCCACCCGCGACCCACTTGCGACCCACTCCGCGACCCACCCGCAACCCACTCGCAACCCACCCGCGACCCACCCCGCGACCCACCCGCGACCCGCCCGCGACCCACCCCGCGACACACCGCGCGACCCGCCCGCGACCCACCCGCGACCCACCCGTGACCCGCCCGCGACCCCGCGCGACCCACCTGCGACCCACCCGCGACCCATTCGCGACCCACCGGCAACCCACCCGAGACCCACTTGCGACCTACCCGCGACCCGCCCACGACCTACCCGCGACCCCCTACGCGCCCGCCCCCTCCACTCTTATCCGCAACAGCGAGGGGCTACATCAATTCAGCGCCCGCCCAGCGTTCCACTGTTTGCATCTGCTAGCATCATATGCGCTAGCACGTGCGCGTGCAGACATTCGCCATGTGCAATTCGCGTGCACTGCTCCTTTTTGCTTGTGCAGGTTGCCGGTCAGACCCAGTGACAGTGCTTCGTCTCAGGCCTCTTGGAGGTATCCACAGTGGCGAAGCAAGAAGTTGCCTTCGAGTGTAAGCGGACTTGTAGGTCGCGCCATTGAATGCAGATTCCCTGCATAATTTGAGCTGCAGCGGCCGCAGCGTGGCCACAGGCAATGTGCTGCAGTTGTCGCTGTGGGTGCGTGATTGTCATGCGGGCGGCCGGTGAACAGGCCTCTGGCGAGCTGGCTACGGTGATGTCTTTCGAGGCCACCCCATGTGCAAACTAAGTGCTGGGAGGGGATGAGCGACAATCATGAGCGTCACGCAGTGGGAGGGGGAAGAGGTTGGCGATCATGCACGATACGTGCTCAGCATCACGGCCGAATTGCGCACGCGAGCGGTTTTCAGAAACAGTTCCTTGCCAAGCCGATGAGGTCTGGACCCCTTGGGGGTTCAGGCGGGGCTCTTGTTTTCGGACGCTTCCTGAGATCTGGATCGGGGAACCTGTCCGTGGCCGAGGCTTTCCGTGGCCAGGGTATGTTTTCGTAGCCAGGGTTCCCTATGGTAGCACGGTGGCTGTGCGTGCTCAGCGTCGCGGCTCAGGTCCGCACGTGCGCGTTTCTCAAGGAAAAAAGGCTTGCACGCTGGTCGCTGAAAGTAGGTATTTTTTTGGACTGCCAGATCCCCATCCGCTTCAGGCGCCTTCCCACGTCAAGAGTCGAGCGGCCTGACCTCTCCCCCCCTCTCCGGGGGGCCGGGCCGAAGCCCAATCTACTTCCAGCGCCTTCCTGCTTCCTTTTTTGCCCACCTCTTGCGACCGACGTGCAGAGTCATTGGCCCCCCCCCCCACCCCACGTGCAAAGGGGGCTCCCGGGGCGATCCGCTGTCTCTCTGGCCTGTGCCCTCCTGCCCCCCGGGCTGTCGGGTGTTGCTAGGAGGTGCCCCTGGGCCAAGGTGCCCCCCCCCAGGATCCTCGGGGCGGCCCAAGCGGCCTCCAAAGCACCCAGAAGGAGGCGAGAAGCTGGGGGGGCCCTGGGCCAGGGGTACTTCTAGCAACACCCGGAGCTGCCCCCCCTGGGGCGTCTTGGGCCAGGGGTACTTCTAGCAACGCCCGAAGCTGCCCCCCCTCTGGGGCGTCGGGGGCACTTGCCTGCAGCCGCCCCTGGCTGTCCAGGGCCGGGGGGCGTCCACCGACTCGGGGGCAAAGCTGCGGGGTGATTTCCAGGGAGGCAGAACCACTCCGACCCCCGTAATCGGCGTTTGCGGCCCTGGGCGTTCACCCAACAGCCCTGCCCTGGTCGATCCTTTCCCTGGGTGCGTGTACGAAGCGCCTTTCTCGTCGGGATGCTTATTATGAAGGTGGATTTTCTGCGCTCCATGATAGGCTCAAGGGGGGGGTGCATCGACCCCCACTCGCCCATTGATCGCCGATAGGGGCCCGATAGCCCTCCCGGCCCAGAGGCGTGCGGATCCGCCATCAGGGGCTCATCGTCGATCCATCGGCGCTGTGTCGCCGACTCCGCGTCGATGTGCCCCCCCCGCTACCCCCGGGCATGACGCATCTCGTGGACACGCATGTCATCATGCCCATGCGATTGTGCTTACATCGTCGCTGCGCCATGCATTTACCTCTCACAACACGTTATGTTATCGAAAGCTTGGCTAGCTCAGCGCTGCGCCTGAGCGTTCCCCCTCACCGCCTTACCGTCTCACAACCCCGCCCGTCCGGGCCGGGCCGAGCCCGGGCTCGTATAATCGGTATGCAGTGGAGGCCCATACCAAGGAACACCGTGCTTGCCTCCAGGGTGCCCTGGGTTTCTTGGGTTTTGATGGTCTTCGCTCATCTGCACCC